GGCTTAGGGTTTTGGGGTTTGGGTTCAGGGGGTTTGCCGTCAAGGATGCTTCCTCAAGTTCACCGTTGCATTCTTGGAGGCCCAGGGGACTTAGTAATTAGGTTATAAGTAGAGTTATAAGTACCCTAAATGGAGTTACCCCAATTATAACCCTGCTTATAACCGACTTAGTAAGTCCCCTGGGCCTCCAAGTTGTGTCGGGCGTGGTCGGAAGGTGCTGCAGACGCGGCTCGAAACGGTCCCATGGCCGTGACGAGCGGTGTTCGTGGAATGCAACTTGACCGCGGCTAGCATCAGTGTTTCCTTAAACCCTGAGCCCAATCCCTGAAACTCCGAAATCCCTAAACTCCTAAACCCCTAAACCCTAAATCCTTGAAGCCCTAAACCCCAGAGTTCATTGATCTTAGCCTAAAAGCCGATTGTTGCTGTGAGCTTCCATGGAACTCAGGTATGGGTTGAGTCCACGCACTCCAGCGAACACGGGCAAGATGAGCAAGAAGGCAAAGCGCACGTTTTAGGTGAGCCTCGACGTTTTAGCTAGGTGGCTTGGCAATCTCACATCTGTGAGACTGCGGAAGCCTCAATTCAAGCCCGCCCAGGGGCAGGCATGTACAAAATTAGCATCTGCTTATGCAAGGCTTCAGGTTCTGAACTACCGGAACTTGCCGCCAAGTGTTTCACCCCCCCATGGAGAGTAGGCATTTTGAAGGGTTCAGCTCGTTGCCAGCGGTCTCGCAGAGGCTTTGTGGTTTGTGGGTGTGGAAGCAAGAAGACTTTTCACTAATGTAGAATCTTTTGCGGCCAATCTATGTCAGGCCCAACGCTGTGCAAGCTCAACATCGTTTCGGCTAAGACATGTCTGGCATGGGGCACAGTTCCAAGTTTTCCAATGGGAGCTGTTCTCAAGTATGCTTCCTTGAAGATACCCATGTGCCTGGAGTTTGGTGGCCGTAGAGCCTACATGGACCGTGGTTTTGAAACAGCTCCAACATGGTTTCACTGATGGACCCCAGGCGGGCACAACCTGCGCTAGAAAATGAGAGCTGCAAGTCATTCTCTCGTGGAAACGAAATGCCACTGCCCTACACCCCGGAGGGGCTCAAACCCTAAACCGTAAGACCACAATGACATGCCTGAAACCCTAAACCCTTCATGGGTGACTCTGCCCTACATAGAAAAGGGCTCTCCTTCAGCCGTTTGCACTCGAGTTTGGCTCGGTGATGTAAGAAGCAATGATGGAGGACTGTGGCCCGCATGAGGGTTCTAGAGTTTCGGATTTGGGTTTAGGGTTTAGTGCTTAGGGTTCTAGAGTTTCGGATTTAGGTTTATGGCTTTGTGCTTAGGGTTCTAGAGTTTCGGATTTAGGTTTATGGCTTTGTGCTTAGGGTTCTCGAGTTTCGGATTTAGGCTTAGAGTTCATGTGGAGATGGTATCTGTCTCCAAATTTACTCATCTACCGGTAACCTGTGTGTGCAGATGTAGAGATGCTTCTTTTTCCGCGTGTGTATGTAGGCTCGGCCTTTTCTGTACATGCATATGTGGCGTCCAACTCTATCACAGGATGCCGGCGCAGAGATCAATCGATGGACAGAAGGGTATTTACAGTGTCGCCCATGTCTGTGATGCTGTGCCTGAGCCCCTGCGCTCCCCCATCGTATCACCCCCGGCCCCGCCTGCGTTCTTGCTTGGCTTCTTGATCTCTCGGCTGCCTGTGGTGTTCGCAGTTGGTTGGGGTACGCAAGAACCCCCGGCCATCTCTCGAAGCTTAAGGCCTTGATGTGTGGTTTTTGCTGCATGCAGCGCAGTCGTGACTGTCTCCTGACAAGCTTTCCCACCCACCCGCCCCGGCTTCTGAGCGGCCAGAAAACAAGAGCAGGGCGGGTAGTGTGTCCTACAGAGGTATGGCTGCATACTTGTTAGCAGTATTGTCCTTATTGTGATTGTTACCGCGCGAGGGGTGGTGGTGTTCAACGTATCCCCTTGCAGATAGTGCCCCTGTCCCCGGTCGAGCCCTCACACGCATGCACTGTCCGCGCGCGTTCATGCTCTCTCTCTCTCTCTCGGTGTTGTGTCGCTCTCATGCTTCTAACGAGATTCACACGCATACTCTCACCATCACAGTTTGGCGCGTCGCCAGGACGACAGCCACTATGTCAATCTTCAGCAGGCAGCGCTTTCTCATCCTAGGCAAAGCTACAAAAAAGAGTCTGTAAGCTCTTCACCCAGCATCCTTATGGTCATCAAGGGTGAATACAGGGGACTTAATAATCACCTATACTATTTTTTTTGGGGGGGGGGTTCTTATTATAATTATATTATACCAGCCTCGACCCCACACAGCAATTGAGAAGTACCGATTCCGATAC